TGAATGCATTTAATGCCTCTGAATCGTACACTTAAACATGGTTAAAATGGTCAATTTTATGTTATGTGTGTTTTGCCACAATAGAATGAAAGAAACGACTAGAAAGAAGGAACAAAGCTGGCTGGGGGAGGAAATGAGTTCTGTTTTAAACATGGTGAGTTTGTAGTGTATGCGCTTGTCAGTTTTAAGAATAAACATCCTAGACTGGGCCCGGTGGCTCATGCCTGTAATCCTAGCACTCTGAGAGGCCGAAGCAGGTGGATTCCTTGAGATCAGGAGTTTGAAACCAGCCTGAGCAAGAGCAAGATTCCTATCTCTACTATAAATAGAAATTAATTAATTGGCCAACTAATATATATAGAAAAAAAAATTAGTTGGGAATGGTGGTGCATGCTTGTAGTCCCAGCTACTTGGGAAGCTGAGGCAGGAGGATCGCTTGAGCCCAGGAGTTTGAGGTTGCTGTGAGCTAGGCTGATGCCACAGTGCTCTAGCCTGGGCAACAGAGTGAGGCTCTGTTCTAAAAAAAAAAAAAGAATAAACATCCTAAAGATGTGGGGCGCGGTGTTAACGCCATTGCCAGATGGCCCCGACTTCCTGGTCACACCCATACCACAAGACTGATAAACAGGGTGAACCGCGCATGTGTAGGGGCTTTTTCCTGTCTCTCAGCAAGTATGCTAATGAGGGCTCTTGCGTTGAGCCAAACAGATGGAGGTAGCCCTTAAATATTGAAAACACACATAATATCTAATATGATTTGGTACCTTTATCTGTCTTTTGGACAATACAAGTACCTTAAATATGACCTTTCCGATTATGATCTTCCAAATCTTTTTTGACTAATATTTGTTTCACTTCATTTGTAAGTGTCCCTAAATTAATCATTATTTTAAAGCTAATATTTATTTAGATTTGTTAACATTTTCAGTACTTTTTTGTTGTTGATTTCCAAACTTAGTCTTTATCACCCGTGATTTCTTGTATCCCTCTCCTTTCTATTGGGTTAATTTGGTTTTATTCTTAATCTTTAAATGTTGGATCTATCTGGGTTTAATTGGGTATAGGAAACATGGTACAGATCTAGCTTTGTCATATGCAAATGGCAAACCAGTTATGCCAATTTTAAAAAAAATTGAATATATTTTTGAATATTCTGTTCTAATGATTTGTAGATTCAAATATATGTGGGGATTTATTTTATTATTTTCTATAAATACATGAATTTATTAGAAACAATTGAGGTCCCAAAGTGTTGAAAAAGAGTTGATTTATTACAGATAATCTTAATAATTAATACATGTGTGTTATTATTTTATTTTTATTTTTATTATTTCATCATTTTATGGTGATACAAATGTTTAAGTTACATATATTGCCTTTATCCCATATGTGGGGATTTATTATATGATAAAGAGAACATTTCAAATTGTTGGGGAAAGGATAGGTCTATTGTTGGTCTGATATGACTGTTTTAATTTTACAGTATTTTGTAATGCATTTTTTATATCTAATAGAGTAAATTCTCCTGGTCAAACATCTTTTTCAGTACTTCCCAAGCTATTTTCTCAGTCATATTTTTCTGGAACAATTCTGGAGTCACTTTATCAAGATCTGCTCACACCGTCCCATCAAAAAAATCCCATGAGACTTTAATTGGGGTTTTGTTGATGTTAAAGGCTAATATAGAGAGAATCAACAGGTTTATAATATTGAGTATTCCTGTTCTGCTACGAATATATTTCACCATTTAGTCAAGTCTTTGTTTCTCAGCAGCTTTTATAGCTACTTATATAAGTTCCACATATTTCTTGTAAAATTTATTCCTTATTCCACTTCATTTAAAAAAAATTCTTTTATAAATGGAACTTTAAAAATTAATATATGTTCTATCTGGTTCATCCCTTTTATTATCTGTGCTGTGTGGCTCATTTATTTTCATACTTGTTCTCTGAAATAGTTTTATAACTTCATAGCCCTGTTATCAACAGTATGTGCCAATTTCTTGATTGCTAAATGGCACCTATTCTAATAGGATTCCTTGTGAACTGGTTGAAGAAGCCATTTCTCTGGGGAAAAAGCAAGAAACATCCTTAATGTAAGAATTGGGCACATCTGGGAACGCAGGAGATAAAAACTATAACTACAGGACTTAACCACCTCCAAGTGTTCAGACCAAGCCTCTGCCTACATCCCCTGCTGGATGGGGTTTAGCATGTTTGTTCTTAAAACTGACAAGCGCATACACTGCACACTCACCATGTTTAAAACAGAACTCATTTTCCTCCCCCAGCCAGCTTTGTTTCCTTCTTTCTAGTCGTTTCTTTCATTCTATTGTGGCAAAACACACGTAACATAAAATTGACCATTTTAACCATTTTTAAGTGTACGATTCAGTGGCATTAAATGCATTCAAGATGTGTGTAACCATCACTACTGTCTACTTCTAGAATTTTTCAACCTTCCAAACAGAAACTCTGTGCCCATGAGGCAATGACTCCTCCAGCCCTTGGTACCCTCCGCTCTTTCTCTACTTTCTGTCTCTGTGAATTTGCCTATTCTTGATATCGCATGTAAGTGGAATTGGTGATATTTGTGCCTGGCTTATTTCACTCTGAGTCCCCAACCAGCTCTTATTGAATGCTTGTCTCACTCTGTGGGGACCCCTTTGGCTCACTCCAGCCCATCCCAGCCACCATGTCCTGTGAGCTGCCAGGTCCCACGGTGCTTTCGCGTCTTTTATATGTTTTATGTCCAATCTCCTCCTTTCACACAGCCACTTCCTTGCCTTGTGCCCTTGTGATTGTACTCAGCACAAGACTGTCAGATGAATATTCTGGTGGTTTTTTGTTTTGTTTTGAGACAGGGTCTTGTTCTGTCACCCAGGTTAGAGTTGCAGACTCACTGCAACCCCAAACTGCGGGGCTAAGATGATCCTCCCACCTCAGCCTCCCAAGTAGCTGGGACTACAGGTGCACCCCACCATACCCAGCTAATTTTTCTTATTTTTTGTAGAGATGGGGTCTCTCTATGTTGCTCAGGTTGGTCTCCAACTCGTGGGCTCAAATGATCCTCTTGCCTTAGCCTCCCAAAGTGCTGGGATTACAGGCGTGAGCCACCATGCCCGGCTAGACAAATATTCTTCAATCATCACATACCACCCAGTTTGCCCAGGAATCATCAGTCATTCCCCCTTCCCCCCTGCCCACTACTAGATGAAGCCCAGAGGATCCTCATCCTGGCATTCAAAGCCTTCCATAATCTTTGTCAATCAGCCATTTGAGCAAGTGAGTGTGTAGATTCATAGCTTGGTGCAAATTTTGATAGGAGGAGGGAAGAGGACAGAATACAAGGATACTGGACATCCGGCAGGGTGAGAAGGCATCACCACCAAGGCGGGGAATGAGTACAAAGCAGGGACACTGGCAGCTTTTCTCCACATTACCAGGGCTGGCACGGCCGTGGGACGCCTGTCCTGCACCCTGCTCTCGCTGTGTCTGGGATGGTCAGAGCAGCAGCGGCGTCCTCACGCCCTCCATGAAACCATTCTCTCTGGGATCGTGCCGCCAGAGTAGGACAAGTGACGTCAGAGTGTCCCACGTGCAGGCAAGAGGTGGCTACTCTGGGTGTTCCTGATTGGTTTCCCAGGACATCCCTGGTGATAAAAACCTTTAATCCCACTGCCACCTGGCCTGCATTTTAAGTGTGAGGTAGCGTGTGCTCAATACTAATGCAAAAATCATGAGGATTAAATGCCCCAAACCTTCCCCATACTCAAAATTGTGTTTTGGTAAGGTATTCTCAGTTTGCTTTGCGGAGCCTTTCCCCTAATTATTAAGCATATCTTGAAACCTAATTGTGGAACAGGAACCCTGAGCTTTCTTCCAAAGGATTAAGGATGATTCCAGTATTCTGGTTTATTTTCTGAATTTTAGAAATAAGCTCTCGTGGGTTCAGAGTTCAGGAAGCTACTGTGACAGCATCAGCTACTTCCTACCAAGATGCTGACTACTGCATCTTACAGTGCAAGCATGGGGGTGGGCAAGACGAATGAGTTGCTAGGCAACTACGATTAAATTAAGCTATTATGCTTTATAGAGACTAGAACATAATCTTCAAGTGGCTATGAAATTTTGATTGTCAATAGTATAAAAAACAAACACGGTTGCAAAAAGAAAATCTCTACGGATATAATTAGCTCAAAACCGTGAACAGCCATATGATCATGAGTGACCAAGTCCAGCCAGTTTCCGTGGGTGCTTTGTGAATCCGACCCAGGAGTGGCAACTCCAGGACGGAAGAGCACTGTGGTCAGCAAGGCGTTCTCTCTCCCTCCCTCCTCTTCCCCCCCTTCTATTCTTCTTCCCCTCCATCCTCCATATTCTTCCTCCTCCTTCCTCCCTCTGTGTCTTACTTCCTCTACCTTTCCTCTCCTACCTAACCTCTCCCGTGCTCTCCCTCCTCCCTTTACTTCAACATCCTCCATTCTCTATCTTCTCTCATCCTTCTCCCCCTTTTTCTTTCTTCCCTCCTCCCCTTCTCAACCTTCAACCTGCAGTCTTCTACCTCCTTCTCCATTGTATGCTATTGTTTTCTTACATAAGCCTCATACTCTTTTTTAATATAAGATTTTTTATTTTAATGCTAATTTTTAGAAGACTCTCCCATTAGTATTATGGTTACCTTTATGTACCTTCCTACCCTCCCACCTCCAGGCCAGCGCTGGTGAGGAAAGGAAGAGTTGAGGGGGTTAGGATCTTAAGCTCAATGAGTTCTAGTACTTGCCAATGATGATTTAAAAAAAGCCAAACAACTGAGCAGCAGAGACGAATGTGTTAAAAACAATTATGGTTTGGGTGAGTTGCACTCATGGGAGCTGAGTGGTCTCACCCTGCCATGTTCCCATAATAATCTTGTTTTCCTGTGATCTAAAGTATTGGTGACACCTTTGCTCATCTTTAACCTGCTAAATGTATTCTGTATCCCCATTTTCTTTATCCCAGGAAAAAAGAGGAAGATTTGCAGACCTGTTGGATGATAAGTATTTACGGACCACATTGCAGATCTGGGTCATATGGTAAGGATGGAATGATTTCAAAACTAGCTTTAAATAGGCATTTGGAAGAAGCTCACTTAAGTAAATCCACTCTGAGTGCTACTGGGGAGAAAAACACAAGACAGACTCCAAATATTGCCTCCAGCAATGTCTTACTCTGCTAACATCACCATCAACAAAAATAAATACAATCTTAAAAAGAAAGAAAAACCCTAATTGTTTACAACCGGTTTTTAAATTTTCCTTTTGAATATATGAGCTCAATTCCTAACCTCTTGCAGCCGAGTCCTTTCCCTCCCTACATGGCAGAAACCGATCCTTGGAAGTCGCCAATAATCAAATTCAATGTAACAGACTCTTGTGGTCCCCTTGGTGAGTCATATCTTTGCAGCCATGACCTTGAGTAAGCAAAGATTTCCTAAACCTGACACAAAACATGCGAACTACAAAGTAAAAGATTGATGGAGTTTCGCTACATTAAACTGGGAACTCTGTGCAGTAAAATAGCACAAAGAATCTGAAAGGTATCAACTGGGAGAAGAAATTTGCAATGTATAACTCCAAAAAATATATCTATAATTATGGTATATATTACATATATAATTTTTTTCAACAATAAAAAAACAGACAACCCAGTTTAGAAATAGGCAAGAGACTTGAACAGCCACTTCACCAAAAATGTCAACATGTCAAAACACGTTCAGCCTTAAAGTCACCAGGGAAACGCAAACTAAAACCCAACGAGATACCATTACAAATCCACCAGACCATGAAAATGGCCAAAATCAAAGACTGTACCAAGTGTTGGGAAGGATGTAAAGTAACTGGAACTTTCATACACAGCTGATGAGAGTTCCAGTTAGTACAACTACTTTGGAAAACTGGTTGGACGTAACTATTACAGCTGAAAATGCGTGTCCCATATGGCCCAGCCATTCCACCCTTGGGTTCAGACCCAACAGAAACGCATAGATCCGTTTCCCAAAAGACACTGACGTGAATGTTACGTGTGGCGTGTGAGTTGGGCTTTCTGTGCCCTCTGCCCTCCCGTGTTCCGAGCCTTCCACCCGGAACGCCCTCTCCGTTTTCCTGCCCCTCAGGGTGCTACCCACCCTCCAGGTCCAGCATAAGCGTTTGCCAATGATGCTCTGTTCTCGCTTCCAGGCTGGGGATCTCTTTCGCCTACTACGGGATCATCCTGGCCAGCGCCGAGCTGCTGGAGCGGGACCTGGTCTGCGGGTCGAAGCCCAAGGTGGTGGAGACCGCGGGGGACCCGGAGAGTCAGAGCCCCTGCCACTGCCACATGTTCGCCCCCTCCGACTACCAGACCATGATCATCAGCACCGTGGGCGAAATTGCCCGTAAATGTCCCTCTGTGTGTTGGGTCCCTCTCTGTTTCGGGTGGGCCGCGGGGTCTATGCAATCGAGTCTTAAAGGAGAGACGTGTGACCCCGTGACATGCCTCCTGCCTAGGGAAACTGAACAAGTCCCCGAGTCACACTAACGTGTCTCCAGTGTTGGGACGAGAAGTCTGGAGGGGCAGAGCTTTGAGTCACTGAATTATATAAATCCTGAGATGCATTTTTTTTCACATTTTAACATCTCTGAAATTTGGGATGTTTCTTACCATGGTTTGCTGGATTTCAATTGGTAGCATTATTTTTATTTTAGTAGACATAAAATGATGATACTTAAAAATCAATGGTACCTTGAATTTGATGAAAAACAGCATACAATATTTAAAAGATAGGTCTAGAAAGTTGACAACTTACAGTAGATGTATGTGATATAATAAGCATCCCAGGTACCAGTGCTTGTCCTTCTTGGACCCACGTGGAAAAAGTATATCAAAGGAGTCATGAAGTTGACCACGATGTGACTGGGTTTTGGCTGGAATACTCATGAGGTTTGGGGGAAGTTGCTTCTCTCTGAAATGACAAGGGACAAATCCATGCCAGTGTTGGTATGTGCCACTTGCGTGCCAACGTTCCAGAACCTGTCTTCGTTGTTTGCTTTCTAGTGAATCCTTTGAACATGCTGGGCATCAACTTCCTGGGGAGACGGCTGAGTCTTTCCATCACCATGGGGTGCACGGCGTTGTTCTTCCTTCTCCTCAATATTTGCACTTCAAGGTATTTTTCTCTACGGTTGCTTCAAAACAAGTTCTGTGCAGTGGTTTAAAATGAGGTGTCCTTGGCCCACGGTGTTCAATGCCATGGGAGTCGGGGACGAGTCCCTCTCCCCAGGGAGAGTAGAGAACGGGCTGCTCGTTTTACGAGAACGGTATTGCCTGGTACCTACCACTCCCAGGTCCCTCTTCCTCCTGGCCCTGTCCGCCCTCAGCTACGGCAGCATACGGGCACCAGTGTTGGCGTCTCCACTTTACCCACCAGAATATTTAGGGTCGTTATATCATGCTTCCTGGAGAACGGGGACTCTAGTTGTTCACCGAATTATTTGGACCAATGCCAAGAGAGTTTAGTGATCTAAATAAAGATCATGCCTGTGGTGTGAAAATTCATTTCACTCTTAGTCTGCAAAGCTGGGGTGGCCTGAGCTATAATATACATCATTTATTCTGCCAACGACACCATTTTCCAGGGAGTGGTGGCAGCAGGTGTGCAAATCTGAGGGTCAGGCTGGAACAGCACGCTTGGGGGAATGGGGAGGGCAGGGAGTAGAGGTGGGAGGAGGTTTGCTTTTAGGACCCCACGACCAGGCCCACTGAGAAGCAGCCCCTCGCTCAGGTTCTGAGCTCTCTGTGGGTGTCTTGGTGCCTGCAGTGCACTTGGAGCTGCGCCAGGTGAGGCTGTCCCTGCCGCCTTTTAACTTCCCCGTTCTCTGCTTCCTGTTCTCCAGCGCCGGCCTGATTGGCTTCCTCTTCATGCTGAGGGCTCTGGTGGCTGCGAACTTCAACACCATCTACATTTACACAGCCGAGGTTCGTTTTCCTGACTGGTTACAGCAGGCTGTGCAAAGCGAGCTACTTAGGGAGGGTGTCCATCCCTGGGTAAGGCGTCCCCGGCTTCTGTTGACTTTTGATGATTTTCTAAAAACATCCTATTAAAAAAGACAATAGACTCTGGGAGGCTGAGGTGTGAGGATCACTCAAGATCAGGAGTTCAAAACCACCCTGAGCAAGAGTGAGACCCAGTCTCTACTAAAAATAGAAAGAAATTAATTGGCCAACTAAAAATATATAGAAAAAATTAGCCGGGCATGGTGGCGTGTGCCTGTAGTCCCAGCTACTCAGGAGGCTGAGGCAGGAGGATTGCTTGAGCCCAGGAGTTTGAGGTTGCTGTGAGCTAGGCTGATGCCACGGCACTCTAGCCCAGGCAACAGAGAGAGACTCTGTCTCAAAAAAAAAAAAAAAAAAAAAAAAAGAAAGAAAGAAAAGAAAAGAAAAAGAAAAAGACAACAGAGGGTTTGTTCGATGTGGATTTTCCCCTTTCCCACTCAGCCTGTTGAAAGCCAATCTCTAAAAGATAGGACCTTCTCCCATTCTCACTACATAGCATGCATGTGAAAAACAACGCATTGCCCAAGCCCCATGCTTCAGAAGTAAGAGAGTTGGGTAGCAGCAAGTTGCTGTTAAAATACAAAGCTCTCCATTTTTCTTTTTGGAACTACAGTGTAAATTTTTCATCCTTATTCTTTTGGAAGATCACTTCTTCCTCCATCTATTATTTGCTGCATGTAGCTTAAATTTGCATATAATCTTCATTCTTTATTCATTTCTTTATTGAATTAATTCATCTACTATATGCAAGGTGTACTGCCTTAGGTAGCTGGAGAATTTCCTTATAAAGCCCCCCAATTTAGAGAGCTAATATTCCTAGAAATGAAACAATATTTGAATAGGGAACTTAACAGTATTTTAACTGGTCTTGTCATTCATTGAGCTACAGGAAACAGGGCTGTAGGGACTGATAACACTGCATTCATTTTCATCTCAGGGAATGGAGAAGTCTGTTCTGATTAAAGATGTGACATGTTAAAAACCATTAAAGCCACAGAGAAAATTACTCTTTCCCCCCACACGCAGATAAAAATAGAAAATTATGAGATATCTGAAGTATACACAGTACTTCATTTAGTTTCATTAACAAAATCTAAAATTATCTCATGAATATATGAAACTAAAAAAAACCTAATAACATCTTGTGCTTCCAGAATTGTATTTGGAATACTCAGTTGAACATATATTTTGGAATTTGCTGATTTCGAGGGTCGTTTCTAAGTATTTTATTTTTTGTATCTATTGTTAAAATTCAAACTTGTGTACCTAAAAATGATAGCTGTCTATTCTGTCTCCCAGATGATTCAAAACACGAGCAAAAGACTATCAGTGTTATATCAAAGAAAACAGTATCACCATATATCTGAATCCATTTTTTTAGTCAGCAAATTCATTTTTCGGAAAACAATAAATAATGCTCCCCAAAAAGACATTCCAAACCCTAGGCCTTCTCCTATAAGGATAGCAGTGTCCTCCGAGGCAGGAAAGTATCTTGTCTTTGCATTTGACAGATGGTGACTAATAAGATGTGGCCTACTAATAAAGGGGCTACCTGCTTTGCGTTAGTGAATTGATAAAAACTGTTTTGTCAGTTAGATAGCATTTTAAAAAGTTTCAAAATTTTGAGAAAAAAAAATCTTAGCATATTCAGGGTATAACGTTAAAAAAAAAAGAAAATTTTGAGAAATCATTCTTTCCTGTATTTTCCCTATAACTTTATTAAATAATACTAGCTGATTTATTAAACTTCTGCCAGTTCTTAAAAGAATTCTGCATCAAAGAAGAACCGATTAATGAGGTTTTACCATAAATGTAAAAAAGTTGCAGTGAAAAAGTAGAATACAGCCAGGCGTGGTGACTCACGCCTATAATCCCAGCACCCAGGGAGGTTCACTTGAGACCAGCCTGGGCAAAATAGCGAGATTCCCATCTCTCCAAAATTTGTTTTTAAAAAATTAGCTGGGCGTGGTAGCACCACACCTATAATCCCCACCTACTTGGGAGGTGGAGATGGGGGGATCACCTGAGTCCAGTCTATGTGACAGAGTGAGACCCTATCTCTAAAAAAAAAGAAAAGAAAAAGAAAGTAGAATTTGCTATAAGATTCTATAACAGCAAGGGGGTTAGTGCATGTAATGAGAACACAGGAAATGGTATAGCAGCTACCTGGCCCTCTAGTCAACTCTTTTCACTGTATCTCATTAAAGATTTAAAGATTTGATTAAAGATAAAATAAAAGATTAAAAGATAAAATAAAAGATTACAAGATAAAATTAAAGATTTCATTGAATCCTTATTCTTTGGGGAGTATTTTCTTTCCATTCAGTGGAACCAGTTTTATACATTTACAGCTCTAAAATAGAAATCTTCTGATTCCAGAGCTTATCCGTCTAAAATTCCATTTGAAATAATTCAACTAAACATATTTTTAGAGTTTGCTCCCTTAAAGGGAAAGTTCTAAGTGTTTATTTTTGCTGATATTTATGGTCACAGAAATTCAAGGTTGTGTACCTGAGAATATGAATGTTTTCTTTCTTTCTTTTTTTTTTGAGACAGAGTCTCACTGTGTTGCCCAGGCTAGAGTGAGTGCCATGGCATCAGCCTAGCTCACAGCAACCTCAAACTCCTGGGCTCAAGCAATCCTCCTGCCTCAGCCTCCCAAGTAGCTGGGACTACAGGCATATGCCACCATGCCTGGCTAATTTTTTCTATATATATAAATTGGCCAATTAATTTCTTTCTATTTATAGTAGAGACAGGGTCTCGCTCTTGCTCAGGCTGGTTTTGAACTCCTGACCTTGAGCAATCCGCCTGCCTTGGCCTCCCAGAGTGCTAGGATTACAGGCGTGAGCCACCGCGCCCGGCCATGAATGTCTTCTGTATTCTGTGTGTGAGTCTGCCACGCCACGTACCAAGCCCGGCCAGGGAGGGAAGAGGAGAGCTCGGGGAAGGAGACAGGTGCACTGACTGGCGCTTTCTATGCTTCCCCCCTGCAGGTCTACCCCACCACCACGCGTGCTCTGGGGATGGGAACCAGCGGCTCCCTGTGTCGCATCGGTGCGATGGTGGCACCATTTATATCCCAGGTACAGCCGAGGAGTGTCTGCAGGGACAGTGAGTCTGAGGGAGGTGGGGGAAAGGGGACTCCAGGTCCCTTTAGATTAAGGGTATAACCATGGATTTCTGTTGACTTCAGAAGTTTTCTTAGGTGCCATTTCCCCCTTGTTGGGTGAATTTGGGTAGGGAAAGAGGCTACGTTACTGCTCCCAGGCTTCCCATCAGCCGGTAGTATGCACTGCATTGCACTCGGGGTTTGCTTAGCTTTAAACAGGGTATTGCTAGGGAAGGATACAAAAGCAGTGGAGACACGGGGGCTTGGGCAGTGGGATGACCATGGGCTGTACCCCTGAGTTAGGCTCATCATCCGGTCAGTTGTCCAGGGTAGGCAATTGAAAATCAGAGCCCGGGAGTGCAGGGAGATGGGCACAGGCAAGCCAGGCACAGGCTGGGATAAAATCCAGGGGTGACCTGGGACCATGGATGAAGCCTTATTTCCAGAGAGACAACAGAGACAGATATGGCGACCCACGGAGCGCTGTGTACCTTACCTCTCTGTACCGGTTGGTCCCTTCTGGGCACAAGAAACAGAATCCAGTTCTGTCTGCAGCAAAAAAAAAGGAAGTAGTGAGGCTGGAGCCTGGGAGGGACTGATCTAGACATAGGGGCTGACAGGGCCGCAGGCTCTGTCCTCCTCCTCCTGTTGGGACCTGTGGTCACTGATGTCGCCTGAGCATGCAGGCTTTGCCCCTCCCTCCCTGAAGACCAGTGTGCTATGCCTGCCTGTGTACACAGCAGCCCCACGAATCCTAAGCACATATCTTTAGCTCTGCCTGCTGCAAGAAGCTGATTAATTCTCTCTGGATCCCCAGAGAAAGGGACTCTCATTGGCCCAGGTCTGGTCAGTTGTCCATGCTTGAGCTAAATCAGCTGTGGCCAAGAGTCAGGGTTATATATAAATGCAGCTGGGGGAGGAGTTGTTGTTGTCAAGGGCTGAGTAGACTTTACCATGTATTTCTTGTAATTTGACAGGGAGTTTGCTGCCAGTAATTTTTTTTTAACTATCTTGGGACAATTTCCCCCACCTATCTTAAAGAAAATGGGGGCAGCGTTTGGTGCTTTTGCTTTTCAAAATTCCTTTATACTTTATTTCATCATTTTCAGAAAAGAACCTAATGGTGAAATCAAGCAGTAAAGTATTAACCCTGTTCTGGATGACCAGCCTGAAGCATAGTTCATTTCCCAAGCTTTCCTTAGGACTTGAGTGTCTTGGTTCTGACCACCCTGAACATTTTCCCTGGGCATCTGTGGGCATTTCTCCCACAGAACACATTTGGTGGGTTTGTAGATTAGGGAAGAACCCTCCTGGGACTGGGTCTCCTAGGGCCACACAAGGCTCTACTCTGCTTAGCATCCTGTAGCTGGGGTGGGTTCTCAAGTTTTTATAATTGTCAGTCATCTTTCTATGCTACCCTCATCTGGCTTTTCTGTTTTTTGTTTTAACTTGAAATATTAATTATTCACCAATCTTTCTTTTTCATTAGAAATTTCTAATGAAATTTCTATTTCTATTAGAAATTTCTATTTTTCTATTTTTTAAGTTTCTATTAGAAATTTCTATTTTTTGCTACCCTCATTTGTTAAGTGGAGACGAATAATAGCACCCACTGCAAAGGTTTGTCCTGAGATTAATAAATGGGAAGCACTTAGCCCAATGTTGACACATAGTAAGCTCTCAGTGAATGTTAGCTAATAATGACTGCAATGACCCATAACAATCAGAGCCAAATGCTATTCAAATAACCATTCCTCAATAGGAAAAATACTTTTAAGTACAGTTAAGTTAAATCAATCACCATGCAATTGGTATGTTTCTCTTTCCTTAGCGGGTTTGGATTGGGAAGTTTAGAATCTGGGAAGCTTTGTGCCTGTTCTTAGGATATTTGCCTAGGTATGGGACGGGGTGAATTGCTCCAAGCCCACAGCAGGATTTGATGTGACTGTTGTGGGCTGATCAGTCCTCCTTCCCTTTGAGGTGGTTCTCAAATGTTCGTGCTTATCAGGATTCCTAGAGTAACTCCATAACAGAAAGATGTTGGACTCTCCCCAGAGGTGCTCACTCTGTACATGGAGACCAGTCACCTAAATTTTTAAGTACCCCCAGCAAATCTGATGCAGCTGGTCTGTGGCCACCCTTGGAGAGACACCGTCATCAACAGGGACCGTGGCAGCCAAGAGATTAGCTCTTCCTTTCACTTAGTTTTTCTCTTCTTCTTCCTCTTTTTCCCTTTTCCAACCCTTCCCCTCCCCCTTCTCTTCTTATTCTTTCGCCCTAAAACGGGCTGTTTTAGTAAAATATTAAAGTGAAATGTTTACATATTACTCAGTAATACGTTTACACATTCTAATGACCACATTAAGCATAATACAAATGCCTCTTTAAAAATGAATGTTGCAAGACATTTAGTTGTCAGAAACTAGTGGTAGAAATAAGAGGAGTCATGAGTATGTAGTTCAAGGAAATAACAGAGGAATTTTGCTGTCAAAGTATTAAGCACTCACTAAAAGGAACACTCACAGAAGGAACCAGTACAAGGTCTCCATGGATGAGTCAGGAACGGCGACCTTACTTATTCTGAGAAACTTCAAGAAGTCAGGCACCATAGCCTCAGCCGGTGTCTTAGTCAGTTCAGGCTGCTCTATCAAAGTACTGGGTGGCTTACGAATAAGAGACATTTCTTTGTCACAGTTCTAGGGGCTGGAAGTCCAAGATCAGGGTGCCAGCACGGGTTGGGTTCTGGTGAGGGCTCTCTTCCTGGCTTGTAGACGGCTGCCTTCTTGTTGTGTCCTCACATCCAGGAAGAGGCAGAAAGAGCTTTCTGGGGTCTCTTTTATAAAGGCACTAGTCCCATTCCTGAGGGCTCCACCCTCAAGACCTAATCACTTCCCAAAGGCCCTGTCTCCAAATTTAATACCATCATATTGGGGATTAGGATTTCAACATACAAATTTTGGAGGGACACAAACATTCAGTTCATAACACCAGGCACACCTTGATGCAGGGATGTATGAGCTGCTGGTACCTACTGTGGATGGTTGACGTCCTTCCAGCATAGCCACGGCTTTGGGCTTCCCGCCAGGCTTGCAGTACAGGCCATTGCAGCCCCAGGCTGTGTGGCCGGGGCTGAGAGGAGGGCAGGGTATGAGTAACACAACCAAGACCGCTCCCTTGAGGCCAGACCTAACATGGTGTCTTATCACATGAGACAGTCCAGCACTCAAAACACCGAAAAGCATTTGACGTCTTTATGAAAGCTGCTCAAAGGGATGTCAGTGGGGAAGCCCATTCATGACTCCCAGCAAAACTTAAACATCCTCTTAGCCTGACTCACTTCTGTTGTCACCAGTAGCATAGCAGTGACCCCCAACCTTCCAGCTTTAGTCCCTTCAGTCCCATCACCCCCTCAAAGTTCAAACTCTGACAAAATGCAGCTCCTTTCTGGCCGCCTACAACCTTCCTAGACCTATTCTCTCTTGAGCAGCTCTCTGCTCTTTCTCACTTAAAGTCATTTAGCCTCCCCCGATGCTGAAGGAAGCAAAATAGACCCTTTGTTAGGATGCAGAAGATCCTTTGTTTAGGATCCTATCTGGGTGACCCATTGGAGTAATTCTCTATAAACCTTAGAGACCTCCTTATATAGTTTTGTAGTTAGAACACCAAAAAGGATTCAATTCAATTCAACTGACATTTATTGAACTTTTACTCTGCCTGGCATTGTCCTAGCTCTGTTTATTTGCAGTAGTAAGGAAGCCAGGTGAGTTGCCAGTAGTGTGCTGGAGCTGGCCTGGACTGGTTTGTGAAAAAAACATTTGCAAGCTGGTTAATGTCACATTGTTGTTTGAAATTGGCCACAGTGTTAGTATTTACACCAAGGAAACTGGCAAATGCTATGAATCAGGGCTCTGTGGTATTTGAGAACCTGTTGTTAAGCACTTGGCAGCACACCACCTCTAGGCTCCTATCCTCGAGAATCTTACTATCAAGTTGGATATTTTATGCAAATAATTTAAGATAATTTCAGATTGCGATTAGGACTTTGGAGGTATTAGGATGATGAGTGAAAGGAGTGACAGGTTTTTTCAGGCAAGTCCTCTCTGGGAAGGTGACATGGGAGTTGAGACTTGAAATATGAGACGTGGACAATGATGCAAAGGGAGATAGCATTCCAAGTGGGATGACAGCTGGTACAAGGGCCTTGAGGTGGGGCAGGGATTGGTGTGTTCCAGGAACGGAAAACAGCCGCGGTGAGCCAAATGGAGAGAAGTGCAGGGACAGAACGTGCCTCCCAGGCATATCAAGGACTTTGGATTTCATCTTGGGAACAGTGGGGAATAATTTAAGTTTCCAGCAGACGAGGAGTATGACCTGTTTTCCTTTCTAAAACGATCACTTTGGTTGCTGTATAGAGAGTACATTGGAAAGGGCAAGGGGAGAACAAGCTTTTAAGAAAACTCTAATTTCATGTTGCCATGTACTATTGACACGAAAAGGGAGATTTCAGAATTCTGGAAAACTCTTTCTATGATGGTATAAAGATATAGAAAAAGATTGTAAACCTGACTGCATAAAATTTCTACATAGAAAAAAAAAGTCTACCTTAGATAAGGATGAAAGATAAACCCTTATCTTTCAAGGGTCTCAAAAAGCCCTAATTTCATCGTCACAGTTAAATGATTTTGTTGACCTATCAAATGCCTGGCCTTTTCCTGAAGCATAGAAAACAATGAATCAGTCCATAAGGTGGCACAGAACCGCACAAGTTAATGGGAATAAAAATATATCCATTAAATATTTTAATAAGTGATTTCCAATAAGCAGTGGGCTTATTGGAAAACTGTATGTTGTCAAGGATAAACAAAGGCCTGGCACTAGTGAAAGTGGTAAGGATGGGTTTTAATTAGCCCTACTGCAAACAGGAGTCCTGCATAAGCTCAGCTCAGCTTCCATTTGTAGGGAGGTAACTGGGTG